ACCCCCCCCCCCCCCCCGCGCTTCCCCTCCATCGCAGTCGCGGAGGACGAGGCCACGTCCACGTCGGGGGATCTGCCGTCGCAGCTCTGGACGGATGAGATGTCGGCCAAGGTGGCGCAGCTGCAGGCGGCGCTGGCGGAGGTTGACATAGACGCCGGCGTGTCGGACTCGGAGGACGTGAAGATCCGGAAACGACTAGAGGACGGGTATAACATGGAGACGCCTAAACCCGTCGCGCCGCCGACGTCCGCGGCGACGGCGACGGCGCCGAGGACGATGAAGACGGTCCTCGCGCCCGGCGACGCCGACGCGCCCGCGCGACGGGGACGACCGAAGGGCTCGAAGAACAAGATCGCGAAGAAGCGCGGTCAGAGCGCCGCCGGAACGGGATCGGCGGCGGACGGGAAGAGCGCGACGATTTCGTCGAGCGCGACGACGCGCGCGGGGAACGTCGTCCGGAAGACGACGAAGAGGGACCCGTCGACGTCGCGGAGGCAAACGGACAGCATGAAGACCTACCTCAAAGACATCGGCTCCGTGTCGCTCCTCACGGGCGAGCAAGAGGTTGAGCTCGCGATGCGCATTCAGGACCTCGTCTACCTGGAGGGCGTGAGAGAGCAGCTCGAAGAGGAGGCGAAGAGGAGGAAACAGACGAGCGAGGTGAGCAATTTCGACTGGGCCATCGCGGCGAACGTCACCGAGCGCGAGCTCAAAGAACGGCTCGACGCGGGAAAACGTGCGAAGAACCAGATGATCCAGGCGAACCTTCGATTGGTCGTCTCCATCGCGAAGCGGTACGCGAACAAGTCGATGTCGTTCCAGGATCTCATCCAGGAAGGCTGCGTCGGGCTCATTCGCGGCGCGGAGAAGTTTGACTTCAAGCGCGGGTACAAGTTCTCCACCTACGCGCACTGGTGGATCCGACAGGCTGTGACGCGTTCCATCTCGGACCAGTCGCGGACGATCCGACTCCCCGTGCACCTCTTCGAGATCATCTCGCGCATGAGCAAAGTCGAGAGGCAGCTCGTGATGAAGTACGGTCGAGACCCGACCACGGAGGAGATCGCGGAGGTGATGGACATGACGGTTGAGAAGATCAACCAGATTCAAAAGGCGTCGCTCGTGCCCATATCGCTGTCGCAGAGCGTCAACGACGACGACTCGCGCACCGTGGAGGAGACGCTCGTGGACGACCACGCGGAGCACCCGGACGACGCCACGGGGAAGGTGTTGCTCAAAGAAGACCTCGAGAACGTTTTGAACACGCTGTCGCCGAGGGAGAGGGACGTCCTGCGGCTGCGGTACGGGATGGACGACGGACGCGTCAAGACGTTGGAGGAGATTGGCAACGTGTTCAGCGTGACGCGGGAACGCATTCGGCAGATCGAGGCCAAGGCGCTTCGGAAGCTGCGGCAGCCGTCGCGGAACGGGATCTTGCGGGAGTACCTCCCGAACGATCACGACGCGGTCAAGGGTGACGTCGGGGACTCCGTGGACGTCGCGTGAGCGAGCGAGTTTGTCCCGTGGGTCCCCCGCGCGTCGACGACGACGACGGAGAAGAAGAGGGCGGACGGACGGCGATCCGTCTCGTCGCGTGTTGTTCGCGCCGCCGCCGAAATCGGCGGCGTCGCGCTGTATCACCTACTACCATTCTTTGTCTTGTATTAGAGACGAATCAAACCAAACCAAACCGAACCAAACGAACGACGCGACCTCGCCGCGCCGCTCACCGCAAGAACGTTAACCCGAACTGAAACAACCCGACGAATCCCACCACGCTCGCGACGACGAGTCCCAGCACTCTCTTCACGATGTCCTTCGTCTCCGCGCTCGTGTCCCCGGAGATCTCCAGATTCATGAGGTCCATGTCGCCCATCCGCTGCGGCTTCCCAGCGCCGCCGCCTCCCATCGCGCCGAGGTTCCCCCTCGGCGCGCGGTCGCGCTCGAAGATCTCCCTCTGCACCGTGCCCTGCGACTTCATCTCCCCCGACGCGAACTTGACGAGCTGGTTCCGCATCTGCGCGCTGCTCTCGAGCGGCATGAGGCGATCGTCCAGCATCGCGACGTCGAACGGCAGGCCCGCGATGTTCATGTCTCTCAAGAACTGCTTCGCCGTCTCGACGTCCCCGAACGCGGCGTTGCAGCACATGCAGCAGTACAGGAGCTCTCGTCGCGTCTCGACGTCGATGGTGTCCTGCCGCAGCGCCCTCTCGAAGGTTTTGTACCCTCGCATGCGCTCGCCCTCGGCGTACAGCGCCTTCCCTTCGGCGAGGAGGAGCGCCGGGTCCGGCGGCGGGCCGAACAGCGCGAACGCGCGCGCGTCGCGGCGGCGACGCGTCGCCGTCGACGTCGTCGCGCGCCGCCGCTCGCGGAGCGCGCGCGCGGCGCCGCGCGACGCGCGCTTCGATCCGAGCGACGACGAGATCGACGCGACGACGCGCGAGGACGCGGCCGCCGCGCGCGCCGCGCGAAGCCTCCCTCGCGCGGACGCGGACGCCATCGCGGGCGCGATCGCGACGCGCGCGGACGCCATCGTGTCGATCGCGCGCGCGTGCCTTTGGCGTTCACCGCGCGCGGTGGCAGAGTGAAGAGACGATAGCGCGGGGAGTCAGTGTAGTGTTGCTGTTGATGACGGATTTTTCCTGTCGTCCTGTCATGTTCACGTCCTCGACGCCGCTCGTTCGCGTGTTCTCGTCGTCGTCATCGCGCGCTACGTCATTCTACCCCCCCCCCCCGCTACGAACACGCCCACCGCGCCCTCCTCGCCCTCAGAAACCGCCCACCCCCGCGCCGCTCCCCCCCCCGCGTCCCCTCCCTCTCGCGCTCTTCTCGTGCGCCAGCGTAAACTTAGGGCCATTCCATACAAGCGAACGTCGGGGTGGAGTTCAAAGGCGTCAGTTGGAGTTGAAAGGCGTCGAGGTCGGGGATTGAAAGCGAGGGGTGGGCGGAGAGACACGACGGCAAAAGTCCTTAAGAAACGGCGTTCACCACGCGAACGCGGTCGTATGGGGACCAGTGTATAGAACGCGCCTTATCCGCGAAGCGTTCGATCTCCGCGACGCCCTTCGTGATGGTCGTGAGATAACTCGTCATCAGCGTGTCGTTCATCTCCTCGAGCTTGTGCGCGTCGAACCGGTCGTCCTCCTCGTCGCGTCCCGCCCCGGGCAGCGCGCGCATCATCCGCATCGCCGCGCGGACGACGTCGTGGTCGATCGGCGTCGCGCCGCTCTGGACGCGGTCGGGGTCGAGGGTGTTTGCCCGTACGAAGCGACGAACGTCGGGGTGGAGTTGAAAGGCGTCAGAAGCGGAGTTGAAAGGCGTCGAGGTGTGTGCGTCGGGATTGAAAGCGAGCGAGGGGAGAAGGGACACGCGTCAGAAGACACGACAAGACGCGCCTGAACGTCGCGCAGGTGGTTCAACACCGCCCCGACGCGCGTCTCCAGCATCCGCGTCGCGTCCGCCATGCCTCGGAGGTGCGACAGGTACTGCCCCGCGGGCGTCTGCTGCCCCCAGTCCCCGGCGCGCATCAGGTCGTCGATCGCGATCCTCTCCGCCTCGTCGGTGACGATCGAGTACTTCACGAGCTCCAGCGCGAGTACATCCCCGCCGCGTTGGACCGCGCGGTGCAGGCCGATGGGGATCTCCGCCGCCGCGCCCGTCAACGCGTCTCGCGTGTTGATCCCTTCCATCGGCCCCACCGCCGCGTCGTCGCCGCCGCCTCCGCCGCCGCTATTACCGCCGCTTCCTCCTCCTCCTCCCGCGGATGACGCCGCTTGTTTCGCGCGCTCGTACGCCTCGGCTTTCTTGTCGTTCAAGTACGGGTCGTACAGCATGAACACGGGCGACTCGGCGACGCCGCGCGACGCCAGCGCCCTGGTCACCGCGACGTCGACGACCGGATCGAGCGCCTCGCCGGTGCTGTACCACCCCACGATCTCCAGCTTCGCGTGCGTCTGCTTGTATCGGTCCTTCTGCTCGCTCAGGAACTTCCAGTCGAGCTCGATCGCGCCGTTGGCGCCGTCCGGGCGCGCGTACAGGCACTCGAACGAGCTATTAATCTCGACCTCGCGCGGCGTCTGCGTGCCGAGAAGGCATCCGATCAGGCGGTCCGGCTCCGCCTCGGGCGGGTCGATGTTCATCTTCGTCCTCGTGAAGTAGTCCGAGATCTCCACGAGGACGAGCGGGTGGACCTTGTACGCCTCCATCGCGCGCCGTCGGACGTCGCGCGTCGCGTCTCCCCGTCCGAGCAGAAGTGACATGACATCGCGGGGGGCGCGGAAACTCAGCGGAAACTGAAGCGCCCGTTCTGTTTGTCGTCATCAGAGGTCGACGCGTCTCGCGCGTCATTGACGCGCCGCGCGAGGAGATCTCGTCGCGAACACGACTCGAAGCCGCCGTTTCACGCGGACGCACGCACGCGGCACCGCGCGCGAGTGAACTTCGGTCGCGCACGTCGCGGCGACGCGCGTCAGATCGTCGATCGCGCGCCCGCCGAGGAGGGCGTTTGAGAAGAGGAGAGGATTATTGTTGATTAGAGCGAACGGCGAAGGTCTCTCGCGATGCTGCCGCTGTCGCTCCTCAAGACGGCTCAGGGTCACCCCATGGCGCGTCGCGACTCGCTCGTCCGCTCTCGATCCGCTCTCGATCCTCTCCCCTAAACCCGCGCGATCGCGACCGCGTCCCGCGTCCCCGCGCGCGCCCCCCGTCGCGATCCTTCAAGCAGAGTCCGACCGCGCCCCCGTCCCCCATTCATTCGACCGCCGCCTCGATCGCGCGCTCACACCCCCAGTTCCCCCCTCCTCCCCTCCCCGAAAAACAGCTCGTGGAGCTCAAGAACGGCGAGACGTACAACGGCCACCTCGTGTCGTGCGACACGTGGATGAACGTCCACCTCAAAGAGGTCATCTGCACGTCCAAAGACGGCGATCGGTTCTGGCGAATGGCCAACTGCTACGTGAGAGGGAACACGATCAAGTACGTGTGCGTCCCGGACGAAGTGATCGGCCTCGTAGAGGAGGAGAACCTCCGCAAGAAGGACTCGCGGCCGACGGTGGGCGGGAGAGGTCGCGGGCGGGGCGGCGGCAGAGGGGGTGGACGCGACGGCGGCGACGGCGGGAGGGGCGGAGGACGCGGGGGACGCGGGGGCCGAGGCGGGAGAAGCTGATCTGACGGACGGGCGCGGCGCGTTCAAACGACTTCTTCGCGGCAGGTTTTTTTTTGAAGGAGAGGGAGAGGAAGCCGCGAGGAGGGCACGGCAGAGCGACGAACGACGCGATCGATCGTCGAGCGCGCGATAGATAACTCACCGATGTTTAATCACATCACACGCCTACGCCTCGCCGCGATCGCGCGATCGCTCGCGATCGCGTTACCCGCGCTGCCCGCGACCCAAGAGCCCGCCGTTTCCGAACCGATCCTTTCGGTTCTTGAACACCCAATACAACGCGAGCCCGCCCATGATGTAGTCCACGGTCCACAGCAACGACTCGAAGTACGTCCACCCCACCCAAAAGTCGCTCATTTCCCGGTCGTCCTCGGCCTCAGCCTTCGAGACGTTCGTCCATCCGTTGTAATTCGCCCCCGACGCGATCGAAGCGGCGAAGAAAAAGATCACGGACAAGGCTTGTATGATCACGTAATACGTCGTCATCCGGCCGTTCTGCGTCGCGAGGCCTTTGTACCCGTTGTAGAACGAATACATCCCGACGATGGAGTAGATGATCAGGTTGAACAGGGAGTAGAACACGTGAAGGACCTTCCACTGAACGCCGCCGCACGCGAGGACGAAGTTCCCTAAAAAGTTTACGAAAAACGTCGCGGTCGACATGATGTAGTTCCAGTGCGCGACCCTCACGGCTTTCCTCGACGCGTCGTCCTCGACGTCGCCGAGGTGAAAGTGGATCACCTTGATCAGCGGCGGGTAGTTGTAGTCCTCCCTGTCGCGGAGTGGATAGACGTGAGCGGACGGACGGACGAGAGGCGGCGCGGGAGGGACGCGGGCGGAAAACCGATCCGAGGAGGGCGTGCGGCGCGAACGTCCTGTCCGCGGGGAATCGCGCTCGGCGCGGGACGCACCAGTCCACGTTCCCCTGCAATTCCGCGCGCTTCTCGCGGTACTGCTGCATGGACGCCTTCATGGACGTCTTCATCGTCGACGCCGTCACGCTCGCCATCGCCTGGATGGTCGCCATCGTCGCCGAGTTCCTCGCGCGAGCGTCGAGCGGTCAGCAGATCTCGCGCTGACTTCTTTTCGCTCGGCTCTCCCCGCGTCGAGCGCCGCGCGTTCGGACGGGACGGACGCGCGCCGTGCGACCGGACGCGAGCGCGAAATCAGGGATCGTCGAGGAGACGCGCGCGTGCGCGAGCGATCGACGCGCGGAGTGGCGTGCGAGCGCGAGGTGCGACGCGCGCGCGCGGTCTCGAGTGCCGCCGGGCCCCTCGCGCTCGTTTCAAATATCCCGCGAGCGATGAGCGACGATCGTCGCTCGATCGCGCGCGTCGCGGTCGAGCTGGCTCGAGCGTGTTGCGCGATGTTGACCCCTGCGAAGTCACGTTTTCAAAGGAAATTTTCTTCGCTCGACCCACGTTCTGTTGCGATTTTCACCCCGGAATCGTGCGACTTTCACCGGTCAGGCGCGGCGGTAGACGGGCAGCTCGCTGCCGTGGGCGTCGAGCCACGGGCGATTCGAGCGCCACACCGAGGCGCGTCCGGCGCACGCGACGACCTCGGACCGCCGAATCCGCGTCGCGCGCGCACGTCTCGCGCGCGTCAACGTACTCGGACGTCGCGCGAACCCGCGGGCGTCTCCTTCCTTCTGAGCGCGACGCGCGGGCGAGGGGGAGGACTTCAGCGAATTCGTCGCAGCGCGAGAGGTCGTTCGAGAAGCGACGGGGATCATCATGAGCGACGACGGGTTCCCCGACGTCGACACGGTGAAGTATGAGAACACGTACATCATGAAACCCGAGGATTACGGAGAGGTGCGCCCCGCGAGATGGCGTCCTCCGCGCTCGCGAACTCCCCGCCGCGCGCGCCTCGAGCGCGAATCTTGCTTGGACCAGCAATTCAACCCGTTCTGTTTTTGGAACCGCGTCCGCCGTTCGCGAGATTCGTCTCTGATCGATTCCCTCCCTCCCTCCCTCCCTCGATCGATCGAACGCGCAGGGGTACAAGTTCATGCGGGGACCGGTGCAGAAGGTGCTGTCGGAGACGATAAAGGAGCGCCTGCACGACACGACGTACGACCCGCTGAAGAGCGCGCAGATCGCGAAAGAGCTCGCGGACACGATCAAAGAGCGCGTGAAAAACTTAAACTTCACGCGGTACAAGCTCGTCGTGCAGGTCACCGTGGGGGAGAAGACCGGGCAGGCGATCCGGCTGGCGTCGAGGTGTTTGTGGGACACCGCGACGGATAACTTCGCGAGCGATTTCTACGAAAACTCGAGCGTGTTTTGCGTCGCGATGGTGTTCGGGTTGTATTACGAGTGAAGAACGATGAGACGCGCGAGGCGCGGCGCGGTGGCAGTCGGGAGGCGTCGTCGCGTCGGTCGTATAAGGCGCGTCTCGCGCGCGCGTAATCCACCTAACATGCTAGCAGCGTACAAATCAAACACATCGATGTCATCTCGCGATTCGTCGCTCACGTCCCGAACGCGTCGAAATTCACGCCGCTCAAACTCAGCGCGATCCACACGACGCCGACCACCGCGCAACACAACGAGGAGAACAACATCAGACGCCGCCTCAGCGCGTCCCCGTACGCGTCCCCCAGCGCTTTCGTAAGCTTCCCGTACAACGCCGCGAACGCGCCCATCGTGCACACGGTGCTCGCGAGAAAACCCCCAAAGTACCCGCACGCGAGCGCCGGGTCCCGCAGCGACACCGCGGGGAGGACGCCGAGGACGGCGCCGGGGCCCGCGGCGCCGTGGACGACGCCGACAGTCACCGCGAGCGCGGTCCGCGTCAGCGGGTCGTACTTTTTAGCGCTGTCGCCGGCGCCGTCCGCGGACCCTCTCTCTTCGTCTCTCGGCGTCGCCGTCGCCCGCGCCGGGGCGTTCGCCGTCGATCGCAACCGCGCGGACGCCAACAGCGACGCGCGCTCGCCCGCGCTGCGGTCCCCCCCCCCCGCGTCTCCGTCAAAAACGCCGCCCGTCCAGGCTCGACAGGTCGCGGTACTCCGACGCGGTGCGGTGAATCCCACCCCCCACGCCGATGCCGTAGAGCCCCAGCCCGAGCATCAAACTCCCGACGACGACGCCCGCGACGGTCTGCAGCTTCCCCCGCAGCGCTTCGTCGTTCTCCTTATCCACCGCGAGGATGATCCCGAACACCGCGAGCAGGCCGACGCCGTGCCCGCAGCCCCACCGCACGCTGCGAGACGAGAGGAGACAGACGGAGAGAGAGAGGAGGGCGATGCCGGCGCGAGAGGTCAGGAGCGCGGCGACGCGACGTGGACGGACGGACGCGAGACGGGGCGGGGCGGTCGAGGCGCGCGACGACGACGACGACGACGACGACGACGAGGACGAGGACGAGCGACGAACGAATCGCGTCGCCAGCGCGCGCACCCGAGCCAGAACGCGCGCGTCGGTTGGTTCCCGCACGACAACGTCGCGACCGCGGCGATGTGGTCCGCGCCGGTGACGACGTGCAGGATCCCCATGAGGAGCCCGCCGCCGACCGCCGCGATCGCGGAGGTCGGGTGGATGCCCATCGCGATCCCCCCGCGCCGGTCGTACTGACGAGTCTTGTTGTTCGCTCGGCACCAGTCAGATAATCAGAGGAACGTGATTAAAACCGGGCACCCTCGGACCACCCCGCCACAAGACGCCCGCGCGGGCGGGCTTCCTCGGTCGCGCGGAAGCGATGAGCGGCCCGAGCGCCGCGCGAGGCGGCGGCGGCGCCGGCGACGACGGCGGACGTCCCTCGCTCTTCTGCGCGGCGCCGCGAGACGCGGTCTCTTCGTCCGAGGAATCTGATGACGATGATGCGTCGGAGCAACCATCGCGGCAGCGCACCCCCCCGGCCCCGCATCGCACGCCGCCGCGCGACGGCGACGTCGACGTCGACGCCGACGCCGCCGCCGTGCGCGCGGCCGCGGCGAAGCTGATGCGCACGGCGACGACGTCGCCCACGCGTTCGCCGCGACGGAGCCTGTTCGCGACGCTCGGCATGCGCGTGGACACCGTCCGCGACTCGGACGACTCGGACTCGGACGACGACGCCGACGTGACGCGCGAGGCGAACGCCCTCGTGTCCGCGGCGTCGCGCGGCGACGCCGTCGCGACGCGCGCGCTCAAGGAGGCGCTGCGCTCGGCGACCGCGTCGCTGGCGTCCTCGAGCGGGGGAGACGCGGACGCGGACTCGGACGCGGACGCGAACGCGCGCGCGGCGGGCGCGATAGCTGACGCGGTCGTCGACGCCGTCGCGACGAGGCTCCTCCCGGGCGCGCCGGAGGCGTCCGCGCGCGCGGCGGACGCGCGCGCGTTCTCGGACGACGTCGACGACGTCGACGACGACGACGTCGTGGAGTTGTCCGCCCCGGAGGCGAGGTGCGACGCGAAGGTGGCGTGCCTGGGCGCGGAGCTCCTGTCGTCTCTGCCGCCGGACGCACAGCTGGCGGCGGTCGACGACGACGACGACGACGACGACGAAAGCGCCGCGTCTCCCGCGAGGGCCGGGCCTCGACGGCGTCTCCTGCGCGCGCTCCTCCACGCCTTCCGCGCGTCGATGACGAACTGCGTCGACGCCGCGCGCCACGGCGCGTTCCCGCCGCTGGTCCGCGCGTTCGCCGCCGCCGCCGACGCGAACGAAATTCGAGAAGGCGCCGCGCCCGCCGTCGCGGAGGAGACGCGGCTTCTCGGCGCGTGCGTCCGTCTCCTCGCCTCGCACGCGCTGCCCACGCATCACCTGCGCGCGTGGCTGAAGACGTGCGCGACCGCGCGAGGACGCGCGCGCGGGACGCTTCTGGACGCGCTCGACGGCGCGTTGTCGTCCGGCCGGTGTCGTCGCGCGCCGAGCGCGTCCTTCGCGCTCGACGGCGAATCGTCCGGCCTCCTCGGGCCCGCCTCGCCGGGCGCGTGGCCGTTCAACGAGAGAGGGTTCACGTTCGCGACGTGGGTGTTTCTCGAGAGCACGTCCGTCGTGTCCGAGCGCGCGGCCGCGGCGACGGCGGCGATGGCGAGGATGGCGGCGTTTACCTCGGGAGGGTCCGCCGCGGCGACGGCGTCGACGTCGCGGGTCTCCGCGACGGCGGCGTCGTACGCCGCGGACGGCGAGAATGAAACGCACATGCCGCGGCTGTTTAGCTTCATTTCTACCGAGCCGGGGGGGGCGCAAGGCGTCGAGGCGTACTTTCACGGCGCGTTCTTAGTCCTAGAAGCGAACGGCGGGCGGGGGAAGGTGGACCGCGTCGCGGTGCCGTTTACGCACGCGTTCGCGCTCAAGACGTGGACGTGCGTCGCGATCGAGTACCGACCTCCGGAGGCGTATAACGTCCCTTCGTTGGGCGTCAGCGACCCGGCATCGCACGGAGAAGTGAGACTGCACGTCAACGGCGTCGCGGTGGAGACGCACAGGATGACGCTGCCGAGAGTCAGCGGAAGTTTGGGGTTTTGTTGCGTCGGGACGAACCCGCCCGCGGCGATGGCGGGTCTGCAATCGAAACGGCGACAGTGCGCGTTGTACGGACACCTCGGGCCGGTGTACGTGTTCAGAGAGTACATCGGGGGCAAACACGTGTCGGACATAGCCGCGCGCGGCGCGAGCTACGTCCCGGGGTACGGCGCGTCGCCGCCGTCGATCGAGGACGGCGGGATCGGCGGAGGAGAGAGGGAGAGGGCGAAGAAGAGCGGCGGGAAAAAGATCGCGGCGAAGGCGTCGGCGTTCGCGGGCGCGGCCGCGAAAGCGTTCACGAAAGCCGCGGCGAAAGCGGGCGAGCAGCTCGCGACGCCGGCGAAGAAGAAGAACGGCCACCGCGTGAGCGGCGGGGAACTCGACGCCGCGAACGACGACGAGGAAGAGGAGGAGGAGGAGGACGACGACGACGCGTCGGCGTCCTCTCGTCTCGCGTCGTCGGCGGAGGCGAGCTGGACATCCCTCGACGCCTCGCTGGCGCCCGCGCTGTTCACGCTGCTACACCCCGCGACGATGGACGCCCGAAAGCGCGTGCCCGACCTCTCGCCGTCGGGCATCGAGACGGACCGACACGGCAGCGCGCTCGGGTCGACGACGGCGACGCGCGTTTCGTCGCCGAGGGAGTCGCTGTGGGCCGCCGCCGCGGGCGGGCCGTCGTGTGTCGTAACGCTCTTATCCCCGACGTTATGCCCGAAAACGTTCCAGCCGCGAGATGCGGCGGACGACGCGGGCGCGATGAGAGCCGCGGGCGCGGCGTTGCGCCCGGCGCTGAGCGTGATGGCGAGCGCCGGGGAGGGACGGTCCGCGGTGGCGATAGCGTCGCTGGACGCGATGTCGTCCGCGGACGCGCCGCGGCTCATCGCGCGCGCGTTGCCTCACGCGCTTCACGCGCTCCGGGAGACGCACGAGGGCGACGAAAACGCGTTAGACGACGCGGAGGTGGAGGTCGTGAAGGCGGTGGAGCGGCTTTTGGAGGCGTCGAGGCGGCACCCGCCGTTGCGCGCGCGCGTGCTCGCGCGGCTGTTCGTCGATTTCACGCCGTGGCTCGGCGGCGGGATCGACGGCCGCGTCGGCGTCGGCGCGCGCGCGATGATGCGCGTGATTCGCGCGAGCTCGAACGTGGCCGCGACGTTAGAGGGCGGCGTCACGCTGAGGAAGCTCTGCGGCACGACGCGGTTGTTGGACGCCGCGCGGCGGTACCTATCGCTCGACCTATCGGGTAGCGACGCGCGCATCGAGCTCGAACGCGGGGACGGCGACGACCTCGTCGAACCGAGTACTCACGCCTCGAACGCGGACGTCGTCGCCACCGGCGGGTTGCGGAACCCCACGATGGAGGATAAAGTCGCGCTCGTGGACGAGCTCGCGCTCGCCATCTCCACGCTCGTGAACGGCGCGGACGGACGAAGACTCGCGGACGAGGCGACGCGTCTCGTGCACTTTCTCGCGGACGCGAAGGACGCGTGCCTCGCGTCGCGAGTGCTCTCCCTCGCGCGCCGCGCCGCTGCGGCGCCGAACCGCGCGCGCGCGGAGACGTTCACGGCCGCGTTTCTCGCCGCGGGCGGCGCCGAGATCGTCCTCGCGCTCGTCCGCGCCGCGGCTCTCGGCGCGACGACAAAGGACGAGACGGACGCCGCGCCTCAAAACGCAAACTTCCGCCGCGCCGAGCTCGTCGCCGCGTGCGCGCGTCTCCTCGGCCACCTCGTCGCCGTCGGCGCGATGAACCCCGACGTCGCTTCGCGCGCGGGGGTGAGCTTCGACGCGGTCGCGACGCCGGCGCTGGTCGAGCGCGCGATGCGGCACTGCCTGCGACGCGCGCCGCGCGCGTTGCTCACGGAAGAGACGTACGACGCGGCGTTGAACGCGTCGCTGGACGGCGGCGGCGGCGGCGGCGGCGGCGGCGGCGGCGCGGAGAACCTCGCGAGCATGACCAGCGCGCCCGCGCGGTTGAACCCCGACACGTCGTTTTTCCTCGGCGCCGCGCTGGAGGCTCTGCCGCGCGCGTCGCGCGTCGTGAAGCGCCGCGCCGTGCACGACGTCTTCGCGTTGTGCTGCGTCGACGACGACGCGAGGAATCACGTCGCGCGAATGCCGGAGTGGCCGTCGTGGCTCGTGTCTCTCCTCGTGACCGAGTCTGTCTCCGAGTTGAAGGACGATGACCTCATCTCGCGGTGCGGCGACGTCTTGGACGTCCTGTTGCAACACGCGGTGCGGCAGAGGGAGGGGTGGAGAGTCGTCGAGGGCGTCGTTCGCGCGTTCGAAGAAGCCGCGGAGGCGTCGACCGCGCGCGGCGGCGGCGGCGGCGCCGCCGCCGCCGCGTCGCGCGCGTGCGACGACGCGCTCGCGAAGCTCGCGACGTTCACCGCGAAAGAGCTCGGCGGCCTCGCGCACAGCTCCAGCGGCGCGACCGCGGACGCCGCGCGCGTCTCGCCGCGGCATCGCCGCGCGGGGAGCATCAGCGGCGATTCCCTCGGCGGCGACGGCGACGGCGACGACGCGGCGGCCGCCGCGACGGATTCCCCGCTCGCGGTCATGCGCGAGAACGCCGCGGCGACGCTGCGGTTCGCCGTCGAGCACATGCGGGGGGCGAGGCACGCGAGATGGTTCCGCGGCGGCGGCGAGAAGCCACCGCGCGGCAACGGTCTTCCCGTGGACGCGGCGCCGTACGGAGACGTCTCGTCGTCGTTGGCGCACTTCGGCGCCAACGCGCCGCGAGACCCGGAGCTTCAGTGGCGGCGGCGATGCTGGCTCGCGACCGCGGGCGAGGGCGACGATTTGGACGCGTGGATGGACGCGGCGGGGCCGTCCGTCATGAGTCGCGGCGGCGAAGGCGGCGGCGAAGGCGGAAGCGGTCTCGCGCTCTTGCGCGCCGCCGCGGGTCTCGTCGAGACGCTCGCGCACGCGTCCGACGATCTCCTCGACGACGTCGACGACGAGCTCCTGCGCGCGCGAGAGACGAAGCAGCTCATGCTGTGCGTCGCGCTCGCGTGCGCGCGCGAGGAAGCGTTCGCCGCCGCGTCCGCGTCCGGCAGTGACGGTTCATATTCCGCGAGCGACGACGGCGACGGTTCAGACGACGCGGTGACGCCGCCGTCGGTGACGGACGCGCTCGCGCCGAGAGACGGCTCGTGCAGCGTCTCCGTCTCGCCGTCGTCGTCCATCGCGTTCGACTCCAGGGCGGTGTGGGGCGTGGAGCCGGGCGGCGGGATCGCCCGAGCGCTCGCGCTGCTGCATCACCTGCTGTCGCCGTGGCTCGGCGCGGGGCCGCCCGCGCGAGGAAGCGACCCGCCGCTCGCGGAGATTGGCGCCTTGTTCGACGAGGTTTGGTCCGCCGCGCGGCGGCGAGACGACGACGACGACGACGGAGGTGGTGGTGGTGGTGGTGGAAAGACTCTCCCCGCGCACGCGAAAGCGACGTGCGCGTACCTTCTCGCGCTGCTCGGGAGGTGGCGCACCGCCGTCGCGAGCGCGTGTTCGGACGACGTCGACGACGGGTCCGGGACGATGGCCGCCGCCGCCGCGGCGGGCGCGGCGCTGCGAGACGCGTCCGCGATTCGCGCGGCGTTGTCGTCGCCGCCCGCGGCCGCCGTCGCCGCGCTCACGACGCCACCGTGGATCGGTGTCCTCGGGAGCGCGTCCGTCGCCGCGGCGCTCGCGTCCGCGACCGCGGGGGACGCGTCCGTCGCGGCGGCGGTCGCCGCCGCCGCCGTCGGCGGCGGCGATTGCGGCGTCCGGACGGCGCGTCAACTCGGACGCGACGCGACGCGCGCGCGATGGTCGTCGCAACGCGTCGTCGTCCGCGCGCGCGAGGACGCGCGCGCGGCTTTCGCGGTGGCGTGGGAGAGAGGCGGGCCGCCGGGCGACGTCCCGATCGCCGCGAAGTGGCGGCGCGTGCTGTACGCGTCGTCGTCTCGGCGAGGGATGGCGGCGGCGGCGGCGGCGGCGAGCGACGCGCGCGGGGAGAAACGATGGAAAGATTTCGCCGCCGCCGCGCGCGCCAGCGGGGCTTTATACGCGCGCGTCGCGCCGTCGGAGGGGGACGAGGGGTACTCTCTCAGCGTCGCGTCGACGGAGACCGCGCGGCGGCGGCGGTATCAGCTCAAGTCGTCGTACGCCGCGCAGTCGTGGCGGGGGAAGTCGGCGAACGACGGCGGCGGCGACGTCGCGAACGCGACAACGGAGAAGCCTCGTCTTCCGTACGCCGGCGCGCAGGCGGCCGCGGCGGAGGCTGCGGAGGCCGCGGAGGCCGTGGAAGCGGCCGAGGCGGCGGAGAAGCGGCGCGAGGAGGAAGAGCGCGAGCGCCAGGAGCAGATGATGATCGCGGCCGCGACCGCCGCCGCCGCCGCCGCCGCGAGGCGGCAACGGCGACGAGAGCTCGCTCATCCTTCAGTGCGACGCGGACATCGTCACGCCGACGGGCGTCGCGCCCGGGCGTTTACAGATCACCACTCGGGCGATCATCTTCCAGTGCAACGCGCCGCAGCCGCAAGAAGGTAACGCAACCGATTCGAACGTTACGTTCCAACCCGCGGACGACGACGCGCATCTGTTGGACGCGTTCGGCGACGGCGTCAGCGTCACCGCCGCCGCGGGCGGGCACGAGTGGCGCTGGCCGTTAGACATCGTCCACTCCGTGCAGACGCGGCGGTACTTACTCAAACGCAGCGCGTTGGAGATCTTTCTTATGGACAGATCCGCGTATTTCATAGACGTGCGGACGCGCGAGCAGCGCGCGCGGGTGTACTCGACGATCGCTGGGTTGGAGAAGAAGCACTGCGCGCGGATGGAACCGTACGCGGGAAACGGCGGCCCCGAAGCATTATTCCGGAAGTCGAACCTCACGCAGCGGTGGTGCCGGAGGGAGATTAGCAACTTCGACTACCTCATGGCGCTGAACACGATGTCTGGGCGGACGTACAACGACATCACGCAGTATCCGGTGTTTCCGTGGGTCATCGCGGATTACGAATCCGAGACGCTCGATTTTAACGACCCGAAGACGTTTCGCGACTTGTCCAAGCCCGTCGGCGCGCTGAACGAGAAGCGTTTAGAGCGGTTCGAGGAGCGCTACGACGCGTTCGACGACCCGGACATCCCCAAGTTTCACTACGGATCGCACTACAGCAGCGCCGGGATCGTTTTGTTCTACCTGCGGTGTTTAGAGCCGTTCACGACGCTGTCTCGGCAACTCGCGGGGAACAAATTCGACCACGCGGACCGGCTGTTTCACGACATCCCGACCGCGTGGAAAGGCGTGAACTCGGACATGTCCGACGTGAAAGAGCTGATTCCCGAATTTTTCTACCTCCCGGAGATGTTCCAGAACGTGAACAAAGTCGATTTTGGCAAAACGCAAACGGGCGAGGCGTTAGGGGACGTCAAGCTCCCGAAATGGGCGTCGAGTCCGTTTGATTTCGTCGCGAAAAACCGCGCCGCGCTCGAGAGCGAACACGTCAGCAACACCCTCCACCTGTGGATCGATCTCGTGTTCGGGTGTAAACAGCGAGGAAATGCTGCGGAGAAGGCCAAGAACGTTTTTTACTACCTCACGTACGAAGGGAACGTGGACATGGAGTCGATCACGGACCCGGTTTTGCTGTCGTCGACGCGCGATCAGATTGCAAACTTTGGGCAGACGCCGTCGCGGCTCACGACGCGTCCGCACCCGCCGCGTCTGTCCAAGGACGAAACGTTCGGCGGCTCGCACTGGTTACTCTCGAACCCTAAGACCGCGTGCAAGTACCCGATCTCCATCCCGGTCGCCTCCGGCGGCGGCGTGCCGCTCGTGAAGGTGGCCGCGACGCCGGGGCGGATCGTCGCCGTCACCGCGGATTTGAACGCGCTGACGCATAAATTCTCGCCCAACACCCCGGACAACGCGTCGCTGCCGTTCACGTTCCAGCCCGCGCGAGAGAGCGGCGCGTTCGCTGGGTTCATGCGCGCGTTCGGTCGCGCGGGCGGGAAGACCTCGAGCGCGAGCGTCGGCGGCGACAGCGCGCGAGGCCCGGCGCCGCTGCGCGCGACGCTTGACCCGGCGCTCGCGGCGACGTTGAAGGACGCGAAGAAACGCGCGTCCGCCGGCGGCGTCCGCGACATCGACGCCGCCGCGGTGACGGAAACGCCGCTCGGCGCGACAACCTTCCCGTGCGAGGTCACGCCGGACGGGAAGTACATCCTCACAGGCGGCCACGTCGACGGCGGCGTGAAGGTGTACCGCTCGGACGTCGCCGGCGCGCCCGTCGCCGCCGCGAAATGCGGCGCGCACGCGGGACGCGTCACCGCGCTCGCGCTCTCCAGCGACGGCCGCGTTTTAATCACCGGGTCCGAGGACTCGTCCATCGCGGTGTGGACGTTACGAAGCGGCGGATCAGACGCGTTTAGATCGCAAACACGCGGCGGCGGCAGAGAAGGCGGCGGGTCGCTCGGCGGCGGGATGGGCATCGCCGGCGTCGGCGGCGGCGGATACGGGTACTCCGGCGCGTCGTTCGCGGGGGGGGATATTTCGTCGCACCATCCCGCGCTCGCGCCCGGCGGCGCGCGCGGGCACGCGCCGGACGATTACTTCGCTGGGGAGCAGAGCGCGGCCGCGACCGCGGTCGCGGCCGGGCTCGTCGGCGCGCCTTGCGGCGCGGCGAACGCCGGTCGGTCGTTCACGCGCGAGGCGCGCGCGCTCGCGGGGATCACCGGCGGCGACGCACAGCTGGCGCGCGGCGGCGGCGGCGAAAAGGTCTCCAGCACGGAGCGCACGTCCGGGGCGCCGTCGCACGGAGACGGCGTCTTGACCGGCCCGCACTTCGTGTTGAAAGGCCACCGAGACGCGATCGCCGCGGTCGCGGTGAACACGGACCTGGGGGTCGCCGTCGCGGCGTCCCCGCGCGGGGGGTGCACGACGCACTGTCTGCTCCGCGGCGTGTTTTTACGCGCGTCGCCGGAGCTGAAGGGCGAGCTCCTCGCGATCTCTCCCGAGGGCGTCCTCATCGCGTGGGAGCGCAAGCGGCACAAGCTGCGCGTCGGCGCGCTCACGAGCGGGGAGGTGGTCGCGGAGGCGCGTTTAGAGCACGCGCTGCCGCCGCTGTCGGCGATGACGACGACCGCGGATGGAAAATTTTGCGTCGTCGGCACGGAAGCCGGCGGCGGCGCGAGCGCGACGCCGGGCGGGCCGAAGTCTCCCGCGAGAACCCTCCCCGCGGGCGTCGCCGTGTTCACGCTCCCGGACCTCAGATTGGTTCACGTGTGGGAGCTCCACGGGCTGTCCGGCGTCGGCGTCGCGTCGATGGCGTTGACGGGGGATAACACGAACCTCGTCGTCTCCGGCACCGACGGCGGTTTCACCGTGATCGCGGACCCGAAGCTCAGCATGCGTTTGGTGCAGCAAATGTTCAGCATGGGCTGGGAGTCCATGGCGTGAACGCGACGAATCGTGCGCGCGGCGAACGAACGAAGTTTGGACGTCGCGTTTTTTGCGTCGATTGATGATGCTTAGGAGACGTCTTCTCGCGCGAGGGGGGACGAGAACCGCCGGCCGGTGACCGAGAGCGTCGACGTCGACGACGTGATCGAGCGCGCGAAGGCGAGGATCGCCGCGCAGCGGTGACGGCGACGGGACGCGACGATCGATCGTAATATACATACAACAAGCGTCAGTATATACAGTATTCAGTTAGTCATCGCCCTATTCGTTTTGCACAAGTAAGTTGGGAATTTTTAGGAGCTTCGGGGTGAAATTGAGGGATGTGGGTCGGTGGAGCGAGTAGCTCGTCATACCGTTATTAGGGTTCCGTTCGGTTCCTGTGGCTGGAGCAGGAGTGCGTTCCAAAAAGCTCCAACACATCAGGCTGATTGTTAACCCTGCTTTTTGAGTCAAATTTTAGAACATTTTATACCGATCGTCTCATAATAACTGGTCCAGGCCCTCGCTCGCCAACTGAATCGTCGAGTGCACCGCCAGCGTGAACGCCCGCGCCGCCTCCGCGTCCTCCCTGACAAGCGCGTGGAACCCCTCCGCGACCCTGACCGCGGCCCAGTCCCTGCGCGCGCGTCGAACGGCGACGGACCACAGCTTCGCGTCGCCGGCGTCGCGCGCGATTTTCGCCGCCCCCGCGCACGCGTCGGCGTCCGCGTCCCTCCGCAGCCGCCGCCGCGCGTACGCCGCGAGCCCGTCGATCTCGTACTTCGTCGCCGCCGCGTGCAAATCGCAAAGCGCGTCCACGGGCGGGTGCAGCGGGACGCGGTAGATCCATCGCAGCATCTCCGTCATCGTCCGCGCGTCCAAATCCGGAAACACGAGCGTCTTCTCGCGCGGCTTGGCGACGTCCGACGACAGCGAGTACGCGGCGACGGCCCACCGCGCCGCGTCCCTCGCCGCGAACGTCGCGAAGACCGCGAGCGCGTGCATCGCGTACAGGATCACGTGCAAACACGCGCGGAGGAGCGGGTGCGCGCGCGACGAAACGCGCTCGATGACGTCGACGCGTCGCGTCGCCGCGGCCAACGCGGGGGACGCGCGGAGCAGGCTCTCGAGCGCCGGCGACGCCGCCGCGAGCACGTCCGCGTGCGCGTGCAGCGTGACGCCGCTCTTCCCGGCGCCGGGGATCAAGCGCACGTCGCCCTCGCGATGCGACCCGACGTGTCCGGAGACGTGCAGCGAGCCGCCGACGAGGCCGCCTCGCCGCTTCGTCTGCCTGAGGGTCGTTCCATACGAGCGAATATCGGGGTGGAGTTGAAAGGCGTCAGATGGAGTTGAAAGGCGTCGAGGGCGGGGATTGAAAGCGAGGGACCCTGGGCGGAGAGAAACGCCGGGAAAAGTCCTTAAGGATCGGCGTTCACCACGCGAACGCGGTCGTATGGGAACCAGTGTATAGAACACACCTGAGCCCGCGGCGGTTCAGCGCGGCGGCGGTGGTCAGCGGCACCGCGCGGTCCGTCGGCTCTTCCGTCGCGTCGAATCGCCCGGGCGTCGTCGCCGGCGAATGACTCGAGTCCGCGGGCGCGATCTCTTCGGCTTTTTCGCTCTTCGACGTGTTCGTCGTCTTCGTGTCGTCCGAGCTCATCGCGACGTCGTTCACCTCTTCTTCGTCGTCGGCGTTTTCATCCTTCGCGAGCTGACCCGCGTCGAGCGGCGGCCCGGTCGGTTCGAACCGCGCCTCGCACTGAATCGTCCCGCGGTTCACGCCCTCGAGCGACAGCGCGTACTCTCGCGTCGCGCCGTCCTCGGGGACGTCGGAAATTTTCAGCGTCGCGGTGCCTAAGAAGTCGTCCTTGCCGATCTTGTCGTGGTCGCGGCATTCGAACGACACGCGCCCGGAAAGTCGCTGCGTCGCCGAGACCGGGATCTCGAACGTCTCGTTCCACGTCGGCCTCAGCGTCCGCGACTTGATCTTCGTCTTGAACCGCGCGGAGCCGCAGCGGAGGATGAGGTACGGATCGCTCTTTTTCGTGATGCGGTCGGCGGCGAGCAAGTCGGAGCCGCCGACGCACTTGACGTGGAGCACGCCGTCGCGCGCGGCGACTTTGCTCTCGGTCGCTCTCCGGCTTCGCAGAAACGCGCTCGCCTCTCGCGCGTACTCGTCGCCGTTCCCCCGCGTCGTCGTTGGGTCGCGCTCGTCGTCCGAGCCCGCGTTCGACGGCACCACCGACGTGTTCATCATCGAATCGGACGCCTCCGGGAACGGGAGGTACTGATCCAGATTCACCGCGAAGCACGGGCCCGGATCCTTCTCGTCGCCTCCGTCCGCGCCCGCGTCGTCCCCCTCGCCGCGCGCGTCGCCGCGCGCGTCGTCGCCGACGGCGCCTCTCTTCCCGTGCAGAAGCACGAACGCGCCGTCGATCGCCGCGCCGGCGTGGCAGCACCGCCGGTCCGCCTCCGCGTCCTCCGCGAGCTTCGCCCACTCCCCGGACGGGAAGTGAAACGCGTAGCAGTCCCCGAGGACGCCGCCGCCGCCGTTCGCGCCGTTCACCGCGCGGCCGCCGTGCACGAGCCAGTTGACGCCGTACGTCGCGGCGACGTAATCCGTCCGTGGCGTCGGCGGCGTCCCCGCCCGCCCCGCCTGCGTCCACCGCGGCCTCCCTCGCCTCGTGTCGAGCTCCAAGCACCACGCGTGCATCGACTCGCCGAGCTCCGACCTCGACAGCGCGTAGATCACGCCGCCGAAGGACGCGATCGCGCACCCGTCGCCGCCTCGAGGTTTCCTCCACTTCGTCTCCACCGCGAGCCACTCGTCGGATCGCAGGTTGTACGCGTACAGGTCGTCGTAGGACACGCTCCCCGCGCCGTCCGGTCCCACCGGGTTCGAGCCTCCGAACACGAACATCACGCGCGCGCCGCGCGCGCCGCCAGCCGCGCCGACGCACGCGCAGTGGCCCGCGCGCGGCGGCGGCGGCGCGCCCTTCGTCTCGCCGCGATCGATCCGCGTCCACCGCGAAGTCACGAAGTCGAAGCGCCACAGGTCGTCTAAGCACCCGTACCGCCCCTGCCCGCCGAACACGTACATCGCGTCCTCGCTCACGACGGCGGTGTGATTGTACCGCCCGGGCGGCGCCGCGCCGTCGCCGTCGCCGTCGCCGTCGCCGTCGCCGTCGTCCGCCGCCGCGCCCGCGACTTTGACCTCCACGGACGCGGTCGCGGCGCTCCAGCGCGTGATCGAGGACACGAACTCGCCGTCCGGGGTGAGCCCGCCGTAGACGTACACCTCGTCCTCCCACGTCACCGCCGCGGCGCCGACGACGTACGCGTCGCGCGCGTCGCCCGCGCCCGGCGCGGCGCCGAACTCGGACATCTCGTTCAGTCGAAGCGGCGGCGTCGACGGGGCGTCGGGGTCGGCGTCGTCGGATACGCGCGCGTCGCCCGGGTCGTTCGCGCGCGCGTGCGACGCGAGCGCGCGGATGAGCGACGCGCGCGGGCCCATCGCGATCCCTCGCGTCGCCGCCGCGGACGCGAGCTGCGACGTCGACATGTGCTTCAGCTTCACGCCGTCGATCTCCGCGTTGTGCGCCGCGGAGACGAGGTTGAGCTCCTCCGCTTGCGCGAAGAAGTCCGCCATCGTCGCTCTCTCTCCGGAAGGCGCCTTGTCAGACTACGGTGGCTGAGTTCTTCTTCGACGCGCGCGCGCCCCGCTCGTCGCGATTCGAGATCGGGTCGCGTCGCCGCGCCCCCCGCCCGTCCTCCGTCCGCGATCGCGCGCGCGGTCGTTCGCGAGGGCGCGTTGACGACGGACCCACGCGCGGCGGGTCGGTTCGGTCGTCGCCCGCGCGTCGGCGTGTGATGAGGCGACGCGCTCGCGGCTTCGTTCGTCTCGGCATCGATCACGACGAGCTCGAAGAGTCGTCCAGTCGGTTTGAAGAGGCGGGCTGTGTAACACCTTCCCTACGCGGACGGGAGGGCGCGCGCGCTGCGCGTCACTCCTCGACGCGCGCTCGTCCACCACCGCGCGGGCGGACGATGGATTCGCCGTTCATCCCCGCGCGCGGCGCGCCCTCGCGCGCGTCCGCCGCGCCGCTTCTTCCGAGGCGCGCGCCATCGCGCGCGGACGCGGCGCCGGACGGGGGGGGGGCCGCTACGCGGTGGTCTTCGATCTACATCTCGTCGTCGCGCGCGCTCGCGCTCGTCGCGGCGTGCGTCGTCGCGGCGTGCGTCGTCGCGGTCGTCCTCGTCGCGTCGAGTCCGACCGCGCCGCCGTCCGCGTCGACGACACCTCGCGTCTCCTCGCTCGGCGCGTTGCGGCGATCGCCCGCGTCGTCGCGCGACGCGCCGCTCTCGGCGCTCGCGAGCGGCGCCGCGCTCGGCGCGACCGACGCGCGCGGATCGGGAGGGGGCGGATCCGACGGAGGGAATCCGAAGACGCGGCACGCGGCGCCCGAGGGCTGGGGCGTCGGCTCGGACGCGGACCTCTCCGCGGACGAGCTGAGAGCCAAGATCGACGCGATGCGCCGCGCGTTCGACCCGCCCTCCGTCGGCCTCCCGCGCGACTTCGACGCGCGCGTCGCGTTCCCCGCGTGCGCGGCGCTCATCGGCGGCGTGCGCGACCAGGGCGAGTGCGGCTCGTGCTGGGCCATGGCGGCGACGGAGGTGATGAACGACAGGCTGTGCGTGAAGACGAACGGCGCGGAGAGACGACGGATGAGCGCGCAGTTCACGCTGGCGTGCACGGTGGACCACGGGAACGCGGGGCAGAACGGCTGCCGCGGCGGCAGCGTCGGCGCGACGCTGGACGAGGCGAGGACGCTTGGCGTGCCGTTCGAAGAGTCGAAGAGCAAGGTGGATTCGGATTCCAACGCGGACGACGCGGATGACGCGGCGGCGGCGGTCGCGAGGGAAGGCGAAGGCGAGACGGACCGCGGGGACGACCGGGCGTCCGCGGCCGCCGCCGCGTCGCCGTCCGCGCCGTCGAAGAAGACCGAGAAGACCAACAAGAGGAAGCCGTGCCTCGGGTATCAGTTCAAGCCGTGCGAGCACCCGTGCCAGAACCCGGAGGCGGAGGCGGCGTCGTGTCCCGCCGCGTGCGACGACGGCGAGGCGTTCGAGAAGGCGTACCCGACGACCGGCGCCGTGGCGTGCCCGGCCGGGGACTGGGCGTGCGTCGCGAGGGAGATCCACGCGCACGGGTCGATCGCGGTGACGTTCGGGACGGTGCACGACGACTTTTACGCGCACAAGACGGGAATATATCGCGTCGCGGACGCGGCGTTGGGTCGCAGCGGGCTGGGCGATCACGCGACCAAGCTGATCGGGTGGGGGTTCGACGACGAGACGAAGGACCCGTACTGGCTGATGATGAACTCGTGGGCGAACTGGGGCGAGGACGGCGTCGGGAAGGTTGGCGTCGGGGAGATGAACTTGGAGGGCGAGGCGGTGGGGGTGCAGATGTAGTCGATGAATTTGAAGTCCGAGCTGCGCGTCTTTCGTCGGTGAAACTTCCGCGGGCGATCCTCGGTCGGCGTTCACTCCCGTCGGCGCGGCGCGGCGGGGTCACGACGCGACGCCATGGCCGCGCTCAAGTCCGCGCAGGTCGCGACGCTCGTGAAGGACGCGGAGGAGAAGCGCGCCAAGGTGCGCGCGCGACGTCGCGTCTCCGGATGGACCGTCACTTCGTCGCCCGCTCGCGGCCCCCTAACTAAACTCGGCATCTCGCGCCTCGCGTCCGATCCCCCTCCGGCCGGCCTCACCGTCCCTCCGCCCTCCGTCCGCGCGCGAACCGCCGTCCCGCAGGAGCGCACGCGGAACGCGCAGGTCCTTCTGCTCAAGTACCTGCGCGATAACGGGTACGTCGACACCGCGGGGACGCTGACGCGCGAGTCGTCCGCGCCGTTGAACGATTACGAAGCCGCCAGCGACGTCTCGCTCGAGCGCGTGTTCGAGGACGTGGAGAACCACCACGTCTCCGCGCGCGGGGAGTACCCCGCGCTCGTGACGCGGTGGTCGGGGAGAGAAGACGACGCGCCGCCGACGCCGTCCGTCTCGGGGAGGCGCGCGCCGCACGAGCACGCGCGAGCGGAACGCGCGGCGGCCGCTCCGCCGCCGCCGCCGAAGCACCAACAACGAGGACGGCGACCGCGCGTCGGCGTCGCCGCGAAGGGGGGCGACGACGCGAACGCGGACGGTGCCGCGGTCAACGGGCTCGGACTCGCGGGCTTATCCATCACGTCGTCGTCGACGAAGACGTTTGCGAGCGCGAGGGCGACGAGCTCCCGCGGGGACGGGGCTGCGGAGCTCCCGCCGCCGCCGGATTTCGGCGTCGCGGAGTTGAACGATCTGGCGAGCGCGGTGACGAGGGACATCTTCACCGGGAACCCGAACGTCCCGTTCGGCTCCATCGCGGGCTTAGACGACGCGAAGCGTCTGCTGCGCGAGGCTGTCGTCATGCCGACGCGGCACCCGGAGCTGTTCGTGGGGTTACTATCGCCGTGGCGCGGCGTGTTGCTCTACGGGCCGCCGGGCACGGGAAAGACGATGCTCGCCAAGGCGGTCGCGACCGAGTGCGGGACGACTTTTTTCAACGTGAGCGCGTCGACGGTCGTGAGCAAGTGGCGCGGCGACAGCGAGAAGCTCGTCCGCGTGCTGTTCGACCTCGCGAGGCACTACGGACCGTCGACGATCTTCCTAGACGAGATCGACGCGTTGATGTCGGCGCGCGGCGGCGGCGGCGGCGGCGGCGGCGAGCACGAAGCCTCGCGTCGGATGAAGACTGAGCTCTTGATTCAGATGGACGGCCTCGCGAGATCGAGCCCGACGACGCAGACCGCCGACGGCCCTCGGGTCTTCGTGCTGTGCGCGAGCAACCTGCCGTGGGACCTCGACCTCGCGTTGTTGCGGCGGTTGGAGAAGCGCGTGCTCGTCGGTCTTCCGACGGAGGCGGCGCGGCGTCGGATGATCTCGACGCTCCTGAAGCCGCACGCGATGGACGCGGACGTGAGCGTGGAGGAGATCGCGGCGAGCGCGGAGGGGTACTCGGGCGCGGACGTGATGCTGCTGTGCAAGGAGATGGCGATGCGGCCGCTGCGGCGGGCGATGGCGGCGACGGCGGAAGACGACGACGACGGGGCCGGGGCCGGGGCCGGGGGGGCGCGGGCGCGGGCGCGAGCGAGGGCGCGCGCGCCGACGACGCCGACGACGCCGCGCGTGGGGGCGATCACGAGAGAGGACGCGATGCGCGCGAGGGAGGTCTCGAAGCCGTCCGCGGCGCTTCACCTCCAGAGGTACGCGGACTGGAGCGAGAAGTACGGGAGCGCGTGAGAACGAGCCGAGGTAGACTCTAGCTGGCCGACTCGAGCGTTTAATTAACGTTGCGCCTTGGCGCGATGCGTGTCATTTCAACCACCCACGACTAGGTGTGGATATCTACGAAAACCTTCATCGCCCTCGCGCTGAGACGCCCCCCCCGATGCGAACGCCGCCGCATTGAGTTTCGCCCCCCGGCGACTCCGTCAGTGCGCGGCGAAGGACTTGCCAGCCTTGGACCCGGACGGGATCACCTTCAGGGTGTTGAACCGGACCGTCTTCGAGAGCGGGCGGCACTGCCCGACGACCACGGTGTCGCCCTCGAAGCAGCGGAAGCACGGGGAGATGTGCGCCGCGATGTTCGTGTGTCGCTTCTCGTACCGTTGGTACTTTTGAATGTAGTGCAGGTAATCCATTCGCATGATGAGCGTGCGCTTCATCTTGTACGACTTCACCGTGCCGGTCAAGATGCGGCCGCGGATGGAGACGTTGCCGGTGAACGGGCACTTCTTGTCGATGTACGTGCCTGTGCGAGAAGAGAAGAGCGATGAAGGGACGAGGTGAGATACGGGCGGAGGAGGAGAAAAATCAAATCGCGTTCGCTCCAAGATCGGCCGACGATGGGGGGGCTCGACCGAGCGCGCTGGTCGCGACGCGCGCGCGCGCGGGAGAGACGCGAGCGTCTTCCCGCCGCCGCGCGCGAGAAGATCGACCATCGCGCGATCTGAACGGGGGCGACGGGGGCGGATCACGACGCGCGCGCGCGTCGCGACCCGCGCCCTCGATCCCTCGCGGCCCCGCCCCCGAACGAGCGCAAGCCCTAGCGAGAAAAAGACGCGCATCGCGCGACGACGGAGAGCGAGCACGCACCCTCGATAGCCTCGCGCGGGGTCTTGAAACCGAGACCCACGGACTTGTAATAGCGGGTGCCAGCCTTGCCGGGCGCCTTGTTCTTAATGGACTTGGCGAACCTGATGACGAGACGAGGGAGGAGGCGGGCGATGGCGTCAGAACGCGCGTCGAGTTGCGCGGCAGCGGAGCGGAAAAGACGACGATGCGTCGTCGTCGCGCGTCGGAAACGACGCGCGAGCGACGCGGCGACGCGAAATCGTGCGCGAGGACGCACCCGGCGTTAACGCCGAGCTGCTTCTGGTACGCCTTCTCAGTCTGCTCGGCCGCCATGATGAACACGTGCGGGAGCGCCGGTGTAAGAGACCGCGCGCACGGGGACGCACGCGAAGAAAAAGGCAGTCGTCTCGCTAGGGTTTTTCCGCGCCTGAGCCGAGCAGAAACCGGAGCGCGCCGCGCAGCTGTTCGGGCATAGGAAATCGACGGCCACCGTTTCGCTTCGCGTCGTCTCCGCCGCGTCGACACACGTCATCGCACGCGCGCTCACGCACGCGCACGCTCACTCGAAAACGATGTCCGCCGCGACCGCCTTCCTCACGACCCCCGTCCGCGCCTCCGCGGTCGCGAAGAGAGCGACGGTGCGCGCGCGCTCCCGCTCCCGCGCGTCGTTCCGTTCGCGTCTCCCGCGCCGCGTCGAACCGGCACTTTTTCGTCCACCCGCTCGCTCGTTCGTTTCGGTCCTGACGCGTTCCCTCGTCCACCTCGTCCATCCTTCCCGCGCAGACGAAGCGCGCCGTCGCCGCGCTCGCGGCCGCGAAGGAGACCACCCCCGTCGTCAAGGCGGAAGACTTCAAGTGCCCTCTGACGTGCGAGGAGAAGTCCAACGACGCGACGACGCACGAGATGGCCAAGGCGAAGTGCGTGCACCCGGAGCGCCCGGTCTCGAAGGCGTGCCAGGACTGCCCGAGGCGGTGAGATCTCGACGACGAGGGAAGGGAATCGTCGGTTCCTTCGTTTCATTCTTTCGCGGTGGTTGGTCGCGTGATAGCGTGCTGTAGGCGGGTCGCGAGGACAAAACGATTCGTCGTCTCTTATTACGATTTACGCGCTCGAAAACCAGAAACCCACAGTGCGGCAGACAAAAAAAACAAACCCGCGGCCGCCGCCAGCCGCTCCCCCCCCGTATGCACACCCGCTCGCGTCGCGACCGCCGCCGCCGACGACGCGCGCCGCTCGATCATCGCTTCTCGTGCTTCACGCACCGGACGCCGAGGTAAAACGTCAGGATGAAAAACGGCAGCGAACACGCGGACCAGCCGAGCGACGCCCACTTGTTCGAGCCGTCGAGCTCGAACGACGACAGCACGCTGTCGCCGAGCAACGGCTCGCACGGCGCGTTCCTTCGCGCGGCCTCGTAGAACGTCAGCGCGCGCTGCTGCGACGGCGTCAGCGGCAGCGTGCTCGCGATGCCGTTCAGTCCGCCGCCGCCGCCGTCGCAGTGGTCGTAAAACTCGCCGGCCTCGAACTCGTTGACCATGAGCGCGGACCACGTCCACTGTATGAACGAGATCCAGTAGAGCCACTTCCACACGACGTGAATCGTCGCCTTGCGGATGAAGAACCCACCGACGAGCATGTTCAGGGTCGTGAACACGGGGAGGAACACCGCGGGCCCTACCTCGCCGCTTATCCCGCTCGCGATGCTGAACCCGATGAGCATCGCGATCGCGAAGTTGACGACGTTGGCGAGGAAGAAGAACAAAAACCGCTCCCAATCGTCCGCCAATCCGACGGAGTAGTAGAGTATCGCGGCGAACGACCCGCCGGCGACGACGAGCATCGGGAGCTCGACCAAGATCCTCTGCGCGACGTAATTTCCGGCGCGGTAGTACGCGTCGTTGAACTCCCGGGTGTACACCTCGCGGTCGAACTTCATCTCCTCGACGAAGACCTGCGCCATCGGGGTGGAGCTGAAAGGCGTCAGTTGAAGTTGAAAGGCGTCGAAGGCGGGGATTGAAAACGAGGGACCCTGGGCGGAGAGATGCGCCGGCAAAAGTCCTTAAGGATCGGCGTCCACCTCGCCAACGCGGTCGTATGGGAACCAGTGTACAGAACGCGCCTGCGCCATGAAGCACGGCACGATGACGGCGATGAAGAGGATGCCCGTCGTGTTAAGGATGCCGCCGATATTGCGGTCCTGGCCGTAGAAAAAGCTCGACAGCAGACCCGCGAGGAGGACGTAAAGCCCCAACCGCGTGACGACGAAGATCGGGTGCTTCATCCGCGGAATTCCCTTGTACCGCAGCAGCACCCACAGCTCTCTCGCGTTGCCGTTGGCGAACTTGCTCGCCTTGGTGTCGTGCGCGGAGGATTCCACCGCGAGCTCTCTGAAGCCGTTCACGTTCGCGTCCTTCACGCTCGCGACGTTCGCGGCGCGCAGCGGCGACTCCTCGTAGTACTTCTCGAAGTCGTGCGTCCCGCCCGTCTCCTTATCGTGCGTGTTGAGCGTGTCGATGAGATACTCCGCCGCGTTGTACCCGGCGCGATACGGGAACCCCTGCTCGGCGAAGAAATCCAACGGCGCCGCGCGTCCGGGCCCCCAGTACGCGAGCCTTCCGTAGTTCAGCAGCACCAGCGAGTCGAACGCGTCGAACACCGCGGGCGCGGGCTGGTGGATCGTCACCACGAACGTGCACCCCTGCTTCCGCTGCAGCGCGCGCAGGTTCATCACCACCTCCTGCGCCATCGCGCTGAGGGTAATTGTCCATACGAGCGAACGTCGGGGTGGAGTTGAAAGGCGTCAGTTGAAGTTGAAAGGCGCCGAGGGCGGGGATCGAAAGCGAGGTGTGGGCGGAGAGAAGCGCCGGGAAACTTCCTGAAGGATCGGCGTTCACCACGCCGACGCGGTCGTACGGGGACCAGCGTATAGAACGCACCTGTCGAGCCCCGACGTCGGCTCGTCGAGGAACATGCACCTCGGCGAGATGAGCATAGCGCACGCCACCGCGGTGCGCTTCATCTCGCCGCCGCTGACGCCGCGGATGAGACGGTTGCCCATGTACGTGTCCGCGCATCGAGTGAGGTTGAGCTGCTTGATGACTTCGTCGACGCGGCGGCGCTTGTCGTCGAGGTCCTCCGCTCGCGACGCTTCGTCGCGCTTGGGAAGCTTCGCCATCGCCGCGAAGAGGATGGTCTCGTGGACGGTGGCGCCGCCGAAGAAGCAGTCTTGCTGCTGGATGTACGCGGTGTACTTCTTGACCGTGGACGTGGACGGGACGGCGCCGTCGAAGTAGACCTGCGATGGGTGCGACGCGGGAAGGTGCGAGAAGGTGAGTCGAAGACGCGAGTCGAAGACGACGGCGGGTCCCGTCGAGGAAGAAAAAAAGACAAGACGCGCCTTCCCGAGGACTTTTCCCTCGGTCTTTCGCTTGCTCACGACGTCGAGGAGGGTCGTCTTCCCCGCGCCGCTCGGGCCCATGACCGCGCACAGATCCCCGGAGTACACCGTGCCCGTGACCTGCGACGGGCGAAGCGAGGAGAAGAGAAGACGCGGCGAGGTCAGCGCCGCCGCGCGCAGCGAGGAGGAACGCGCGAAGAGAGACGTCTGGTCGCGCGCGAACTGAACGGCGGAAAAAAGGACGCACGTCCTGAAGGAGCTTCTTGGTCTTGTCCGCGACCGCGACGCCGCCGCGCGCGAGCACCTCCCCGACCTCGAGCGTCGCGGGCCCCGAGGGAGACTTCTCCGCCGCCCTGGTAGCGTCGCGGTTCCGTCCCGCGGGTAGGAGCGCGCCGACGCCGTCGAGCGATATGGTTATGCCCCTGCCTCCGCTCGCGCGTCGAAGAGGGCCGCTCCCGACGCTGGGGCACGAGTCGCCGCTGCCGGTGGCGGCGACCGCGCACGTCGGCGGCGGCGGCGGCGACATGCCGAGCGCGGCGGGGGGAAGATCGGCGGGCGAGCGCGGCGTCGGGCGCGGCGTTCGGTGTCGGCGTCGGCGTCGGGGCGCGCGCGTCGCGTCGGCTTGTGAGCGAGACGGACGCGCGCGTCCGCGAGAGACGGACGCGCGCGGCCGCGAGAGACGGGCGGTTTCAAGCCTCGAGATCGCGCCGTTTACGCTCGGAACGAGCGCCGCCTTTCGAGGCGCTCGTCCTCGGACGTGGAGAGACGCCGCGACACGTGTTCGAACGAGGGCTCCTCCTCGCTTTCCGAGGTCTCGGGTCTGACAACTTTTTTGCGTCAGGTGGCGAGAAAAAAAAAATTCTGCTGTCTTGTCGAGGCGATCTCGTGCCCCGCGGTGACTCGTCGTTCTGGAGTTAAATCCCCCCCGATCGAATCTGTGGCTCGCGCGCGCTCGCGAGCGGGAACGTTCAAAAGGCCACGCGCCCTTCTCCGGAGGCGTCGGCCGCACTCGGAGTCCGCGCGGCGACGGCGCGCGCCCCACCCCCGCCGTCACCATGGGACGCGGCCAGGCCGGGTACACGAAGATGACGGACGACTCGCGCATCGAGATCGAGCGCGACGTCAAGCCGCTGCTCTCGAGCGGCGGCGGCGACGGCGTCGGCTACGGCTCCGACGCGGATCCGGACGACGAACGTTTCTACTGCGGCGTGGACCGCGAGCTCCTGTTCAACACCCCGGACGACGGCCTCACGGAACACGAGGCCGCGGCGCGTCTGGATCGCTTCGGTCCGAACAAACTCCGCGAGGTCAAGGTGGACATTTGGCACAAGCTCATGATGGAGTTCGTTCAGCCGATGCCGCTCATGATCTGGGCCGCCATCCTCATCGAGACGATGCAGGCGTTCATCAACAAGAGCGCGGACAGCTGGATCGACGTGTTCGTGCTTCTCGTCCTGCAGCTCCTGAACGTGTTCGTCGGATTCTTCGAGGAGATGAAAGCCGGCGACGCGATCGCGGCGCTGAGGGACTCGCTGAAGCCCGAGGCGTGCGTGAAGCGCGGCGGGCGGACGTACAACTGCGACGCGACGACGCTGGTGCCCGGCGACGTCATCTGCCTCGGCGCCGGCGGCGCCGTCCCCGCGGACTGCACGCTCCGCCACGGGAAACCGATCCAGGTCGACCAGGCCGCGCTCACGGGGGAGTCGCTCCCGGTCACGATGTCCACGGGATCGGACGCGAAGATGGGAAGCACGGTGACGCGGGGCGAGATCGAGGCGACGGTGATCGCCACCGGGTCGCAGACGTTTTTCGGGAAAACCGCAGATCTCGTCCAGGGCGTGGACGAGCTGGGGCACTTCGAGAAAGTCCTGCGGGAGATCATGGTCCTGCTCGTCGCCGTCGGCGCGATCATCTGCGCGATCGTGTTCTTGTACCTCGTCACGATCGGCGTGAACTTTTGGGAGGTGCTGGCGTTTAACGTCGTCCTCCTCGTCGCGTCCATTCCCATCGCGCTCAGGGTCGTGTGCACCGCGACGCTCGCGCTCGGGTGCCACGAGCTCGCCGCGGAGAAGGCGATCGTCGCGCGCCTGTCGTCCGTGGAAGAGCTCGCGGGGATGACGATCCTGTGCTCGGACAAGACCGGGACGTTGACGCTGAACAAGATGATGCTTCAGGAGGATCTCCCGACGTTCGCGCCGGGGGTGACGAAACGCGAGGTGCTGAAACTCGCCGCGCTCGCGGCGAAGTGGTGGGAGCCACCCAAGGACGCGCTCGACACGCTCGTGCTGAACGCGGTTGATCTGCGCGAGCTCGACGCGTGGGAACAGACGGACTACATGCCGTTCGACCCGACGATCAAGCGCACGGAGGCGACGGTGCGAAAGAAGTCCACGGGCGAGTCGTTCAAGGTGTCGAAGGGGGCGCCGCACGTCCTCCTGGAGATGTGCGACGACAAGGACAAGATCCGCGCGGCGGTGGACGACAAAGTCCTGGAGCTCGCGCACCGCGGGATCCGCTCGCTCGCGGTCGCGCGCACGAAAGGCGGCGAGGACGGCCCGTGGGAGTTCCAGGGGATCATGACATTCTTGGACCCGCCCCGGCCGGACACGAAGCACACGATCGACTGCGCGAACGAGTTCGGCGTGGGCGTGAAGATGATCACGGGCGATCACAAGGCGATCGCGGTGGAGACGTGCAAGGTGCTGGGGATGGGCACGCACGTCTTGGGGACGGAGTCGCTGCCGCTCATGAAAGCGGAGGATCTGGAGAAGGCGCAGACGTTGGGACGGGACTACGGCGCGCTGTGCCAGAGCGCGGATGGATTCGCGCAGGTGTTCCCGGAGCACAAGTACCTCATCGTCGAGGCGCTGAGGCAGCAAGGGTTCCTCGTCGGCATGACCGGCGACGGTGTGAACGACGCGCCCGCGCTGAAGCGCGCGGACGTCGGGATCGCGGTGCAGGGCGCGACGAACGCCGCGCAGGCGGCGGCGGACATCGTCCTCACCGAACCCGGTCTCTCCACGATCGTCACCGCGATCGTGACCGCGCGTAAGATCTTCCAGCGGATGAAGAACTTCGTGATCTACCGCGTCGCGTGCACGCAGCAGCTGCTGTTCTTCTTCTTCGTCTCGTGCGTGTTCTACCACCCGAACGAGAGGAACGACGACTGGCCGAACTACTTTTACATCCCGGTCATCGCGCTCGTGACGATCACGATCTTGAACGACGGGACGATCATCTCCGTGGCGTACGACAACGTGCACGCGTCGCACCTCCCGGAGAAGTGGGACCTGAACATCCTGTACATCGTGTCCTCATCCATCGGGATGACCGCGCTGATGTCGTCGCTCATCCTGCTGTCGTACGCGCTGTCGAGCAACGACCCGACGTCGCAGTGGGCGTCCTGGGGGCTTCCAGCGTTGTCCTACGGCGAGATCCAGTGCTTGATGTACTTGAAGATCTCCCTGAGCGACTACATGTCCGTATTCAACTCGCGGACGAAGGGGTGGATGTGGTCCAGGGCCCCGAGCCGCGTGCTCGTCGGCGCGTGCATCTTCGCGACGAGCATCTCCACGATCTTGTCGCTGTACTGGCCGTTCGGGAACGGCATGCAAGGCATCTCCGGCGACGTCGCGCTGCTGTGCTGGCTCTACGTCCTGTTCTGGGCCGTGCTTCAGGACGCGGCGAAGGTGATGACGTACAGCATTCTGCACTCGCTGGGGTACGTCGAGAGCGTGGACGTCATCGACGAGGAAGCGCTGAAGCAGTCGCGCGAAGACTTCTTAGCCGTGAGCGTCCGCGACTGAGACGAGTCGAGACGGACAAACGATTGATTTTACGTTACGACGTCGCGTTGCGAACGAACGAGAGAACGAACTCGAACTCAACGAACGAACGAACGAGGGGGGGGCGGGGATGAAAATGAACGGAACGAGCACGCACGTCCGAAACATTTCTTGTTATATCGACGCTGAAATTTGCGCACGTTACTATGATACTCGTCGCGCCGCGTCCCCCTCCCGCCAGCTGGCGCCTCGTCGTCGTCATGATATCATACTAGCATCACCCACCTCACCGCCGCTCTCTCAACGCCAAGTCCAGCCGCGAGAGCAAGTCCGGGAACCCCCCGATCGGGTCCACGATCGGCCTGCGCTCTTTCACGTACTTCACCGCGTCCACGGCGCCCAGGCCCAGGAAGTACATCACGCAGCTCACCCCCGACGTCCCCGCCCTGTGCGCGCCCGCGAGGCAGTGCACCATGACGTTCTCCCCCTTGCCGAGCTTCTCCTTCACGAACGCGAACAGCGGGCGGTAGAAGGCGAGCACGCCCGCGGTCGTGTTGATGTCCGGCGCGCTCCACCAGTGCGCGATCGGGAACCGCAGGTACGTGAACGCCGGGTCGTGCTCGTGGAAGTTTTCCGTGTCGACGTCTTGCGCGTTTATGACGTTCGCGATGCGATGCTTCGCGAGCGTCTGCGCGCTCTGCGCGGCGCGGATGTTTCCTATGTAAAACGTCCCGCCGTTCGGGAGCTTGAATATCGCGGTGACGTCCTCGTAGAAGGCGTCGCGTCCGGGGGGGGCGGGCTTATCTTGGAGCCTGGCGAGCGGAGACGGAGGGGGGGGGGGAACGCGGAGATGGTTTACGAAACGTGCGTAAGCAGATGCGCGCGTGGAAAATATCTTCGACGGTCGTCGACGAAGGACGCGCGGGGACGGAGACGGGGCGGGACGCACGCGAGGAGTTTCACGCCCTCGGCGTGGTAGTCGACGCCGGTGCTCATCCCCTTCGACTCGTTCGAGAACCGTCCGCGCGTCCGAAGAGTGAGACGCGCGCGAGCGCGGGAGCCGTAAAAAGCGTTGGCGAGCACCGCCTGTCGCGCGGTGCGGTCGGACGCTGGAAGGGAAGGCGCGTGTTCGACTCCAGACAGGAAGTCTGTCGGAAGCGCGTGACGACGACAGTGAAGGCGGCGCGGTCACGCGGCGCGGCGCGACCGAAGACGTAACGCGCGCCGGGCATCGCGCGTCGACGCTCGCGGGAGCGTCAGGGCGGCGAAACCAACCCCGTGAGCGCGACGCGTCGGCGGACGCGGCGCGATCGCGGCCGAGCCGCGGGGGTGGGCACTTTCGTTCCTCGGCGCGGGACGATTGAGAGTATAATCGTGCTCCGCGATGGCGAGCTTCTTTCGGAACCCGCTCGGGCGGCAGCCGGACCGGCTCCATCTCGTGCTCGGTTACCACGGCTACGTCCACGGCGAGACCCCGGACGCGCCGCCGAAGCCCGAGGTCGCGGACCTCGCGATCGACTGGGAGCCCGGGGAGGAGACGACGGCGTCGCTCTCAGATCGAATGCGACGCGGACAGGACGAGACGCGCGAGCGCTTCGACGTCGTCGGCCAGCGCGTCGCGCTGACCCTCGCCGTCGACGAATCCCTCGCCGCCGCGGGCGCCGACGCGCCGTCTTCCGACGCCGCGACGACGACGACGACGACGACGCCGGCGGGGTCCGACGGAGGCGCGGGCGGGATGACGTCGCATCAGAGGACGAGCAGCGGCACGCTGTTCGGAGGGGTGTTCGGAGGGATGAGCTCGAGCGCGAACCTCGCGTCGTTCCTGTTGGGCGGCGGCGGGAGCGGGAGCGGGAGCTGGAGCGCGAGCGCGAACGCCAGCGGCGAGGGGTTGGACGAGTCTGACGCGAAGGCGGCGTCGCCCGCGCCCGCGTCCGGAGTCTCGCCCTCGGAGCGGCCGCGAGGCCCCGTTTTCGTTTCCCTACTCGTGGAGGACGTCGCGCCGCGGCTCAACGCGTTGACGGTCGACTTCGAGAACAACAGCGGCGCGACGTCGCCGCCGTCGCAGCTCGCGGACGCGATGAAGACGCTGCCGCTGGCCGAGATCCGCGAGCTCGCGCTCAGGGGGGAGGGCGTCCTCCACCGGCTTCTGGCGGATCACAGAGCGAGCTGGGCGGGCGTCGCGCGTCTGGACTTGTCGTTCGCCGGGCTGTCGACGGCGCCGGAGGAAATTTTCAACCTGACGCGACTCACCGAGCTCGTCTTGGATAACAACAAGCTGACGGCGCTGCCGAGCCTGACGAGACTCGCGAAGCTGCGCGTGCTCAGCGCGAACAATAACGCGATCGCGTCCGTGCGCGCGGACGTGCACGAGCTCAAAGACTTGAGGGTCATCTCCCTGGAAGGGAACAGACTCACGAAGCCGGTGATTGACTTTCGGGCGCTCGCGAAGGTGCACACGCTTCGGCTGTTCGAGAACCCAAACTTGGAGTACCTCCCGGAAATGCACCACGCGCTCAAGCTGCGAAACCTGTCGCTGTTTAACGTGCGGATATCCGCGGACGAGGGGTTGAACGCCGTGGACGTCGCGATCGACGAGGGCGAAAACGTCGGCGTCATCTCCTCCACGTTCGGCGGCGGCGTCGCTCGAACGGGGAGCAAAGCGTACGCAGCGTTCTTCGCGCTCATCTTCCGTCACTCGTCGTGCCAGCACCCGCTGATCGCGACCGCGATCGCGGAGATCGCGTCGAAGGACAAAGCGAACTGCGCCGTGATCGCGGCCACGGAAGGCGGCGTGCATCAGCTCCTGAGCATGGTCGCGGCGTCCGACGTCGGCGTCGTGACGCAGGCGACGCGCGCGCTCGGCGAGCTGTGCCGCGACCCGAAGCTCGCGAGGAAGCTCGTCGACGCCAAGGCGCTGCAGCGCGCGACGGGGATGATCTCCGACGCGAGCACGACCGCGGTGCAGATCTGCGGCCTGCGGATGTTATCCAACCTCGCGTTCGCGTCCGAGCCGATATCGCGCGAGCTCTTCAGCGAGACGCTGCTCGATCGGCTCATGCGTCTCGTCCGCGACGGGCGCGACGACGACGTCCGCGCGCGCGGTCTGGAGGCGATGGGTAACCTGGCGTTCGAGCGGTCGAACCGGAGGGCGATCGCGAGGTACGCGCGCGCGCTGTTGTCGTCGTACGCGCTCGGAGAGGACGAGCGGTCGAACGACGCGGGGGGGGCGGGTTCGGACGCGGGCGCGGGTTTGGATTTACGCGCGAACGGGAGGAAACCGCCGGCGTGGGGTCAGAAGGCGACGCCGCCGTCGACCGCGGGCGCGCAGCACCCGGAGGTGAAGCGGATGGCGACGCGCGCGCTCGCCATCTTGGGCGAGAACGAGCTCGTTCGAAGGGCAACGGGCGCGCGCGCGGTCGTCGGACGCGGCGTCAGGATACTGTGCATGGACGGCGGCGGCATCAAAGGCTTCGCGACGATTTCCATGTTGCGACGCCTCGAGGAGGGCACGGGGAAGAGAGTGCACGAGCTGTTCGATCTGATTTGCGGCACGAGCACGGGGGGCATCCTCGCCGTCGGCGTCGGCGTGCACAAGCACTCGCTCGAGCGGTGCAGGGAGCTGTACCGCGATTTGGGGACGCGCATCTTCAGCGCGCGCGACGACGCGAGCGAGCCGCAGAGCTCGTGGAGGGACCGGCTGGATAATTTATACGCCGGCGGGCAGCAGGCGTGGCGGCTCGGCGTGCACGGGAGCAAACACGACGCGACGCTGTTCGAGACGCTCGTGAAAGAAGAGTGCAAGATGCCGACGCCCGGCGACGCGACAGGGAGAGGGGAGAAGCGGCACTACACGTGGGTGGACACCGGGGTGATGCACCCGGGACCGAAGGTGTTCGTCGTCTCGACGCTCGTGTCCGTGTCCCCGGCTGAGCCGTTTTTGTTTCGCAACTACCAGTACCCGCAGGGGATCGACGACGACGCGGACGACGGCGTCGACGCGGACGGCGGCGCGCATTCGAAGAGGGTGAACATCCTGGGCAGCTGCAAGAACACGCTGTGGGAGGGCGTGCGCGCGTCGTCCGCGGCGCCGTACTACCTCGCGGACTTTTCCCTCGGCGACGAAAAGTGGCAAGACGGCGCGGTGACGTGCAACAATCCGAGCGTGTTGGGCATCATGGAAGCCAGGAGGCTGTGGCCGGATAAACCCATCGACGTCCTCGTGAGCATAAGCAGTGGGAACGTCGCGCCGAAGACGCGCGACGCGTCGTCGCTGTCGCTCATGACGCTCAGAAACGTGCTCATGGAGAGCAGCTGCGACGTCGATCGCGTCGACGACTCGCTGCGCACGCTCCTGCCGCTCGTCCCCGGGGCGAAGTACTTTCGGTTCAACCCGATCGACGACCGGTGCGGGATGGAGTTGGACGAGACCGACCCGGTGAAGTGGCAAGGTCTCTCGGACGCGACGGACGCGTACATCGCGCGCGAGGACGCGATGTTCCGCGACGCGTGCGACGCGTTGGGAGGCCGCGGCGGTGATGGCGACGGTAATAGCGGCGGGGGCGGCGGTAATCGCGCGAACGTCGTCGCGCACGCAGAGATCGGCACGCGACGCGGGTTGCTCCTCGTGGAAGCGCCGAGGGTGCCGGAGGAGATCTGCGCGAGCAGCGGCTCCGTCGCCGCGTTTTGCAACACGCGGTCGATCCCGTTCGAGCGCCTGGACACGACGAAGACGAAGGACGTCGCGGCGATCGGGGGGGACGCGTCCGGGGCGCGCGCGCTTCGCGCCGCCGCGCGAAAGTTCAGCGATCAGATGGGCGTGATTCACTTCAACACCCTGTGCGACGCGACCGGGATCGTCTTGCGGTGGAGGACGGACGTCACCGCGATCGCGGAGCCGTCCGTCGTCGCGTCCGCGTTCGTGGCGTCCGCCAACCGAGCGTTGAACGGGGACGACTCGGACGACGTCCCCCGGACGCCTCCTCCTCGCGCGACGCCGACGAAGCGACGCTCGAAGCGGCGATACGAGACCCTCCACGACGTCTGCGCCGGAAAGTCGCGCGTCGAGGTCGACGGCGTCCTGCACACGGTGCTGGGGAAGCACCTCCATCACAACCGCGGCGGCGGCGACGGCGACGAGGGAGGAGACGTCGGCGCGTACATCTTCCGCCGGTCGTTGCCGGCGGAGTACGTCGACGCCGCCGTCGCGGAGGACGTCGCCGCGTTGTGGCGGGAAAAGATCGTGGTGTCTTCCTCCGCGCTCCCGGACGACATCGTGCGCGCGTTGCTCGACGCGGACGCGAAGGTGGTCGTGTCCCCGAGCTTCGAGGAGACGTGCGGCGGCGGCGTCTGCGGCGGCGGCGTCTGCGGCGGGAGTTCGATTTCGAACGCCGGGGAGAGAGACGAGGGGGGGCTCGAGGATTTTTTCAACGCGTTTTATCACGCGTTGTACGTCGTCGGCGCGGACGCGGTCGCCGCGTTGGGGGCCGCGGTGCTCGTGCGACCGGGGTGCGGTAGGTTTCGGTGTCACATGAAGATACGCGGGGTCGTCACGACGTTGAAAGCGGGCGACGACGATTTATTGCCGAGCGAGAGCGACGACGACGAGGAATATGCGAGTTGAAAAGTGTGAAGTTAGCTTCCTTATTACAATTTCAGCGTGTGTGCTTGTGTGTCATCATTCTCATCTTCTAAATCATCTCGTTCTATACTCTCCTTCCTCATCAGCATCCTGCGTTGGGTAAAGAATTTCGTCGTCCTCTTCGTCTGGGTTTGTTCCTGGCTCTCCTGGATACTTTTTCCGCTGCAACTGGGTTTTGAGGGAGGAAACAAGGTTTTTGGGTCCGTCCCCGCCACCGATAGTTTAACTTTACACGGGCGCTCTTCGCCGGCCGTCAGCTCGACAACCGCCCACACACGCCGCGCGGAGGCGGCGCCCGATAGTGTGCAACACCCACCCCTTCGCCAAGGGGCGTGTCAATTTCTTTTTTTTAGGAGGATTGAGTCCGTCCCCGCCACCGCTGCGCTGCGGGGATTGGGTCCGTCCCTTGTTGCGCCTTGCAGGTGGCAAGGCGACTTAACTGTGCCGCTACCGATAGCGGCGACTTCTTGCGCCTTGCTGCAAGGCGACTTAATTGCGCCGCTACCGATAGCGGCGACTTCTTGCGCCTCACTGCAAGGCGACTTAATTAATTGCGCCGCTACCGATAGCGGCGACTTCTTGCGCCAAGGCTGCAAGGCGACTTAATTGCGCCGCTACCGATAGCGGCGACTTCTTGCGCCTTGCTGCAAGGCGACTTAATTAATTGCGCCGCTACCGATAGCGGCGACTTCTTGCGCCTTGCTGCAAGGCGACTTAATTGCGCCGCTACCGATAGCGGCGACTTCTTGCGCCTCACTGCAAGGCGACTTAATTAATTGCGCCGCTACCGATAGCGGCGACTTCTTGCGCCTTGCTGCAAGGCGACTTAATTGCGCCGCTACCGATAGCGGCGACTTCTTGCGCCTCACTGCAAGGCGACTTAATTAATTGCGCCGCTACCGATAGCGGCGACTTCTTGCGCCAAGGCTGCAAGGCGACTTAATTGCGCCGCTACCGATAGCGGCGACTTCTTGCGCCTTGCTGCAAGGCGACTTAATTAATTGCGCCGCTACCGATAGCGGCGACTTCTTGCGCCTTGCTGCAAGGCGACTTAATTAATTGCGCCGCTACCGATAGCGGCGACTTCTTGCGCCTCACTGCAAGGCGACTTAATTGCGCCGCTATCGGTAGCGGCGACTTCTTGCGCCTCACTGCAAGGCGACTTAATTGCGCCGCTACCGATAGCGGCGACTTCTTGCGCCTTGCAGGTGGCAAGGCGACTTTTGACTGCGCCCGGCGGAGTGATCGGCGACGCACCTGGAAGAGTTCGCGGGGACCTTTCGCAGGAACCTTTCGCGGGGGAAGGTTGAAAATCGTGCGTACACGTATTAACGTACTTCCGTATGTGATTTTAGTCACACAGCGGCGGTCTCGCGACGCGTACAAAATCTCTCTTCGACGAAATAAATCGAGAACGCGTAAAAGCCGCCCATCCGTCCCGGCATCGTTCTCTTTTGCTCTCGCGCGAGACGTAGCGACATACATTCGTCGTGAGGACGTTTAGGACCGCTTCCACACTCAACACACACCCGTAAAATCAAAATGGCCGAGTGCGTCCCCGCCCGCCTTTCCGGTCGCTCGGCCCTGAAAAAACATCCGCGCAGCCGGAGAAAGGTTTTCGCGGCCGGCGACGATCGCCGGCCTTCGCGCGCCGTGGCTTCGTGGCATCGCTATCGAGGCATCACGCCGGCGTCCGGCATCACGCCGCGCGTCTGTACAACGATTCCGCGTCGCGCGGCCGCCACCCCCCGCCCCGCGTCGGCCGCCGCACCGCGCGCTCGTCGCGCGGCTTTATTAGGGTTCGACCGTCGCCATCGCGCTCGTCGTCGCGCGCGCTGACCCCCACCGCCCCCCTCCCCGTCTCGCGCAACAGAGAAGAAGAACCCGTCGTCATGGAGGAGACCGCCGAGGAGGCCGCCGCCGAGGAGCCCATGGACCTCATGTCCGCGCTCCAGATGGTCCTCAAGAAGGCCCTCGCCGAGGACGGCCTCCACCGAGGCCTCCGCGAGGCGTGCAAGGCGATCGAGTCCCGCAAGGCGCTCCTCTGCGTCCTCGCGCAGGACTGCGACCAGGCGGACTACACCAAGCTCATCCAGGCGCTGTGCAACGAGGTCAACGTGCACCTCATCCGCGTCCCGCAGGCGGTGCAGCTCGGCGAGTGGGCCGGTCTGTGCAAGCTGGACGCCGAGGGCACCGCGCGCAAGGTTGTCAAGTGCTCGTGCGTCGTCGTGTCCGACTACGGCGAGGAGACCGAGGGGCTCGCGATGCTCCAGGAGTTCCTCAAGAACGCGTCCGCGTAAACGAACGCGGCGACGACCGCGCACCGTTCCGTCTTCGAGGCTGGTTTGGTATTACGATGAAGCGCGGTAGCTCGTTGTAACAAGGCAACCCTATCGCGCGACTGAAGACGCAGTAGTGTACACGCGCGCTCTTTCCCCGCTCGCGGCGCTCTACCGCGGCGCCGAGCCGAGGACTACCCGAACATCGGAAGCGCGCTCTCGCCCCTCCCGTCCCTCCCCCCTCGCTCGCTCCCGACCGCCTTGCGGAGGTTAATCGTCGCGCCCTTGTACATCGCCGCCCCGCGGTCGAACGCGGTCGCGTCCTCCCCGCCGCCGCCGCCGCCCCCGCCCCGCCTCGCGTTCTTCTTATCCCTCACGAGCTCCCACGTCGCGACGATCCGCGCGGCGTGCTCCGCGCCGAACGCGTCGCGGCGCTCGTGGAAGAGATCCGCCGCGACGTCGATCGCGGTCTGCGCCCACGCGAACTTGTACTGTTTCGCCGCCGCGTCCAACGCGTCCAGAAGCGCGACTCTGCTCGCCTCCTCGACGTCCCACGCCTCCGCCGCGGCGGCGCGCTCCGCGAGCCTCATCCGCGCGGCGTGCGCCCTCGCCTCCGCGGCGTCTTCCGCGTCCGCGTCCGCGCCGCCGCCGACGTCCCTCTCCTTCTCCCTCTCGTCGTCTTCCTTCTCGTCGTCCTCGTCGTCCTCGTCCTCGTTCGCGACGGACGGCCGCGGAGACCAGG